AGCCCCATACGGTGGTTGAGCATACTGCACAGGATAACCTTGTTGTTGAACATGATTCTGCTGATGTTGATAAGGTTGATGAGCAGCCATTTCACGGTAGTATATGGCCGAGTGACTCTTCGGACAAGTAGCTCCTTCATAACGGACGAAACTCGGAGTCTTGAACTTTGGAGGAACAACTTGTTGAACTGGTTGAGCAATAGGAACCGCAGGAGGAGTCGGCACAAAACCAGGTGAAGGACCATAGGGAGGTACATCTGCAACAGTAACAGTTGGCTGAGGACCCACAATATTACCGGTAATCCCAAAAACAACAGTAGGCTGAGCATCCATTCTTGCATTAATGGCCTGAAGCATCTCCATTATTTGCCCAACACTTCCCTTATGGTCTTCAAGTTCATTTCTGACATGATCAAGCTTTTGATTTTGTTCCGCCATCTTTTTCCAAGCTCGAGCTCTAGTGTTGTACTGACACAGAGGACTCATGGTGACAGAACTGGAAGCGAGAAAACTGACGATGAGAAACCGGAAGGACAATGCAAATGCAAAAATAGGATACAAAATGCAATGCAAAGGTTTCAAAGATTTCAACGATGGATTGCAAATATTTTCGAGGAAATCTTAAAAAAGTTTTAGATTTTGAAATGTAGAATTTTTTTGAATTTGCATAAGGACAATTGAGTTCCTTGAAACCGGGAATGATATGATGTTGGATGCAATGCACAAGCACACAAAGCAAACAAAGGTCCTAGGTTAGAGGGACATGAGCGGAGCCAAGGTCTACCCATCCCGAATGGTAAGTACTATGGGTTAATTGTACCTGTGGAACAAGGTTCTAAAGAGGTGCCCAAAGTCATTAGTCCATCTTTCGGATATCATCAACTTCCCAATTACTCGGTGATTAGTAATATTCTCAAGAGAACTTGTTTTGAGTGTAGCATCGTGTAGCACTACTTCGGGAGTACTCCCTCATAGTCCCGCGCTACATCCTAATAAAGGCCAAAGTGGGGTTAAGGTAACTATGGTCCTCAGTATCACAGACTTCAATCGTCAATAGTAAAAGTTTTCACGATTACTCGTTCAACCGAACTATTTTCGAAAGGGTCTCAACTGAGCGGGATTCTCGAGTCAACTTGGTCGAGATTCGATTCCCTATAAGCCTCGTCGAGTATATCTCCTTCCAATAAAAATTGCACTCAAGTCCGGGTGTAGGACTTTGTCTCACCACTCAAAGGTATCAACCCAAAAGCATAAACAAGATATATACAAATAGTCATATAACAATAAACAAAGCAAAAAACACAAGTTAGGGAAACCCACTTATTTTTCCCAAGTGAAGTCGCCATTTTCTGTTGCAGTGAAATTTGGATGTCAAGCTATTGATTAACTTGAATCTTAATTCATTTACAACCGGTATTTAATTTATCCGAAGGAAAGGTTAAAGAAAGGGGAAAACCTATTTTGCATCGTAAACACAATGCGGGGAGAGATCTAAAGTTCGGGGGTTGGTTAAGCTTAGGGAAGGTATTAGCATCCTAAACTTCTGTAGTACTCTACAGGAACCTCTTGTTTTAAAATGTGTTATTTCTATGCTATCTGCTTAAAGGTAATGCTAAGGGTTAAGAGTGAAGAGAAGGACCTAAGGGGTTAGTCCTAAGTATACTCGCCAAGACTCGCATCTTGTGCCTACGTATCCTGGGTAGGGGATGGAATCAGAGTATTCGTAGTTCCCCTCACAGAGGGAGGAAGAGGAACTTCTTGACTGTGGTCAAAGTTCCAAGGGGAAGTAAACGTTCATAGGGAAGCGTTTACTTTGGAGTACGACGACTCCTATTTCTACGTTAAAGCTCGAATTAAATGGGTGTAGGATAAGTATTCCACGGTGGGAAACTTATATAGAGTGCGGTGACTCCTAATCCTAAGGCTACGATGAAAGGGTTGGATGTCCACGGCGGGACACTTAAGCATGAGTACGGCGACTCGGATCCTAAGGCTAGGATGGGGTGAAGGTGAGGTATTGACTCGGCGGTCAAATAGGGTAACCTTTCCTTCGGATGGTAATAACGGTAAACAGAAAATAAAGCGCAATGGAGATCGAAATGCAGAATGATAAGCAATGATGATAGCAACGGTAATTGATAGCGATGCTAGCTGAGGGTTATGATTAAGCGCATTATAAATAAGTGTATTGGTGAAGTGAAAATGAATTTTAGAGTTTAGAGTGGTTAATTGATTGTACGACTTTTCTTAGAGTTTTATGTAATTTAAGATGTTAGAATTTTTGGATAGAAATTAAGTTGAATGGAAAAGTTGGAATTAAAGGTTTTTTTAGTTTTGAGAATTTATATTAAATTGGTTAATCTTGTATTAAGAAAAAAAAGGTTTATTATTTAAGAAAAATGATTAGTTAACAACAGATTGAAAAGTTTGATTAATTAGGATTTAGAACAATGTTTTTTTTTTAGATTTTTCAGATTTGAGTAAAATGTTATTTTTTGTTTTTAATTATTATGCAACAAAAGAAATTGAACATTAACCTAAATGTTATTTTTTGTTTGTTCTTATTATGGAAAAGAGAAATTTAAATTAAAACTAAATTGAAACTTTATATTTTCTTTATTATTAAATCACAAATTAACCTAATTAAATGTTTTGCTATTTTAAATTTTATAGAAGAGAAAATTAAAATTAAAACTGAAGTTGTTTTCTTTATTATTAAATTCATTTTTTATTAATATTTTATTTTTTTTTAATATTTTTTTTATAGTAATTATCCACAATTAAGTCAAATCATATGATATAAAACCAAAATTAATATTTTTGTATATTTCTATTTTTAACCAAAAACGTTTTTTTTATAATTAGGTTAAAGTTCAGATTTTAAATCATGTTATTGGTTAGTGTTAGATGGTTAGTTATGTTAGTGTTTTATTATAATAATAAGTAATTACAAAAATATAAAACAAAAAAATAAAAGAAAAGGAAATATAAAAACAGAAATTAAAAAAAATGGGTCGGGCTGGGTGATGAAACCCCATACTCGACCCGACTCGAACTGAATAGAGAGAGAGGAAAATATCAGAAATTCGGAACCCTAAACCCCAATTTGAACGACGACCATTCCCTTCCAACTCTCCTCTTCCGTTCCCGTTTCCCTCTACCCGCGGATTCTCCTTCTTCTCACTCTATTTCTCTTCTTCTTCCTCCTGCCCTGTCTTCTTCTCTATTTCAAACCTGAAAAACAAACAAACACATCAAAGCTTCGATAAATTTGACGTAAGCAGAAGGATTACCGCACGTTGCGGACGAAGCAAGTTCGTAATTGCGATGGCGATGACGGTGGCTTTGCAATTTCCGGCGGCGGCAGCGTGAAAGATAACTCTCTCGGACCCTTTTCTCTCTGTGTTTGTACTTTGCGATTTTCTGTCCGTCTGTGAATGTTTTGTGTGGTTTTTGCTTGGTGTGTTGTGACTGTTGTATGTTTGTGAAACTTTTGTGGAGAATTTCTGTGTGTATTTTTTTTTGTTGATTTCCCCCTTCTGCAATGCGCGTGGTTTCAATTTATAGACAGGGTAAGATTTGCAACATTAATTTTGGTTTGAGGTACAGATATTTTTGTCGAAGCTTGCTTTGGAAAAATAATTGGCCATTGATAATTGTTTCCATTTCAATCAAACCTGTCTGAGCCTGTTTATTGTTCAATCATGTGCAATACTGTTGACATTGAATGTGTTTCTGTCTCAATCCACTCATGTTTTATCATGTTTCCAATTTGGTTTGATTTCTTTAACGTTGATAAACGTTTGCAGCAAGCATTGAAGACTGGTGGATTGTTCCCCTTTCAGAATTAAAGTCGTCCAAACTGGTTTAGGAATAAAAAACCTGTCTGAAACATGTTTGATTTCATGCCAAACATATTCCCCTTTTTTTTAACACGTAAGGTACTAATCGTGGGAATTCCTAACTTAATCTTTTGCTTTGAAAATGTGTTTCCAGTTATATTGCAGCTCGTACCGCAAGGGCACTTTGGGTTTAGACCAAAGGAATTACTACAGGTCCCAGACTTGTTGGTTGTGTACGTATTTCTTCTCTATTGATTTTGCAGGAGTGTGATTACAACTTCCAGGTCTAGGGAGGATTCTGCGTGACTACCAGGTTTATATTCCTTGGCTTCAAATCAGTGCATAAGGGAAAGCTCATACTGCGAGTAATGAAGATAGGACTTAGTTTAGCACTTTGTCTAGCACGTGGACTACTTACCATTTGCTTAGCAGGGCATTTTAACTTATGAAATCCTGATCATTAAATCAAACTGTATGGATTGTTTTGGATATAACACTGTTTTAAATGTCATTGTTTTGAACAGGTAACTTACCTCCAGAAACAACCATGTTGCGAGGGTGGGGCTTCAAGGCGGTAATACCCTCTCTTTTTCTGTTTCAAAGTGTTTACCTCATTTTGGCATGCTTTTAGTTCCTATTTAGGTAGTTGATAACTAACTAGTGTACACTGGCCGTCTTTAGGATTTGGCTGAACAAAAAAAGGTGTAAATCATGGCAGAAGATGGTGAAGCTGGAGTCAACTGCTGCAGATCTTTGTCCCACTGAGAATATAACCTCCAAACACACTTATTTGCATATGCGGGTGAGTTCTTGATGGAAGTACCCGGTATTCACGAAGCCAAGACTCTGTTATCTGCAAACCAATTGCCATTTTCTCAAGTTGCAGATTGTGCATACAAGTTGCTAGGGGCTGAAGATATTGGTGATAGGTAGCAAATGGGGCAGAGTTTGATAAAAGTGGTAAGAGGTCTCTAACCACCGTCCAAGTATCCAAGTCTCGTGTTCTTTTCTTTTTTCACAGGACTTACTAACTCTATTATATTAAATGTAAACGCAGGTTCACTTTCTCACCGTCAGTCCCGTCGTGTAGCACATCGTGGTAGAGGCTCAGCATCCGCTTACAAGACTGAGTAGACAAGTTTTCTTCCAAGTAGCATTATGGTCGCGTGGACTGGATTTAGAGGCTGTGTTGGAAAAACAGGACCGTTTAATGTTTTGGAAACGGTATGCTGCGAGAAAACTGAACTTTATGTTGACAAGGTCATTTCTAGCTTTACTTTATTCTGTTAAGCGAAACAGTGTTCTGATTTTCCTTCATTTGTCGTAGGATTTGCACTTGAAAACGTATTAGGTAGAAGCATCGGTTGGTGTTGAGATTTTCTGGCCAGACCAACCGCTTGTTGATGAGATTGATGCCATTGTGGTTGGGCTATCGAATGATCGACGCGAAGGCTTCCAGGCTTCTTCCCTGCGAGGTACGATTACATAAACATATCAACATATCCTTTGGATAATTTGTGTAACCATGAAGCTTCTGCGGTCATTGTTCTAACTGTTTGCTTATCCACGACAGCTTCGCTCATGAAGCTTGCTACGTGCGGTACAAGTGTGGTCCAAATGCGACTCTGGTGTAGAGAATGTGAGGAAGATATGCAACATTTTCTAGAAATTGTATCTTTAGCTTGATTTGCTTGGTGAGTTGTAGGTAATATAGCAGATGCATCACTGCGTTAATTCCTTTCCGAGCCAAATATGGGAAAACGTCCCCTTCATGTGTTGTTGATGTTTTAATAACTGTTGTTTTTTTTCATGACAGGACTTAGATTTTCTTGTATAACACATCGGCGTGGGAGCATGATAACTAGTATTTGTAGGTACTATTTGCCACATAGAATTCTGCTATGGCGAACCGTCAACATGCTAGCTGCAATGCCATATTCTGTTAGTTTCCAAACAAGAACAAAATAAACACTTGCTGCTAGCAATATTAATCTCAACTAGTGGTCTTGATTTCCTTGAAGACATTTTGAGCAAATATTTTCCTTCACAAATCTCTTGTGTCTGTTTGATAACCAGGCTCGGTCATGATTCATACGTCGGTTTCTTCAAGCTTCTAATCGTGCATATGAAGGAATCAATCAAAGACGGTAGACTTTGAAGAAAGACATCCAGTGTCCTTATGCTAACCGTTTGTTGATGGAAGAGCATCGGCTTCTATCCCATGTTTTGATGATGAGTAGGGCAGTATGTACATACTACCATAGTTGTTAAACCCTGTAATTTTCTAGGATGACCTTTTGTGGGTCATTTGGATTTTCATAGAAATACTGTAAAGGAACAAACATATTGTACTTGATTAAAACCTTCATACTTGGTAATTTGATCCTTTTGAGCTTACGCTTTAGAATACATTTTGCGGGTTTTATTTCAAGTTAGGCGTGATGTAATTCTTGCAAAGCGTTTTTTAGCAGTTTAGGAACTTCATGAAACTTTATGCCTCATTTTGGATAAGACAACATTCTTTAGTAGCTTGAATGGGTAACATTTGTGACTTGAGTTAAACTACTGAAACATCTTGAATTTCTGTGAATACTTGAAAATTTCTTGGCCTACAACTTGCTTCAAAAACTTGTACTCATAAAGTGATTTTAATCTCTCAATTCCAATGCATGAATTAAATTTATGTGGTACTCTCAGAAATAGATGGATTTAGCGCTTGGGGTAGATCCGACCATGATTTGAGATAAACTAGAGAAAAAGCTTGAAACCGGATTGAAGCATAGTATAGAAACCAACTTGTAGTAAATTAACTTTCAAATTATCTTGAACATTTCTTGAGGCATGTCCTTTGATCGATTTAAGGACTTATTTGTAACATTCTTCAGATTAAGTCTTAACTCCACTCTTCCTTTCATGGATGAAATTTCGAAGTTCATGATTCACAAACTACCAGAAATCCAAACTTTTCCACCTGACTATTGATGTTCCAACTTTATGAATAAAAAAAACCAACCATGCCATGCAAGATCCTTTGAAAGTGAGGGTAACACCGATTGCAAATTATGGCACCCTCTTTTTCCTCATTCATCAAGACTTAAAAGGGCACACGAGATTACTTTTCCATTTCTTCGACACACCTGCAAAACGAACAACTAGGAAAACTGGTTAACGGTTAGTTAAAAATGAAAGATGGACAAAAATGAAATGCTAAATGATCGGTGAATCTAAGGGTAAAATTTGGGGTATGACAGATAGCACTAGCCACAACTAGTGAAGAAGCAAGTTAGTTAAGATGCTTGCTAGTAGACATCCCTCTATGAGAGAAATCTATGCCAGTTGTGTTGATCCACTGTGATAGTACCGCAACTATTGCAAAATTGAGAACCGTTATTATAATGGTAAAAGACGTCAAAATAGAAGAAAGCATAGCATTGTTAGAGATGGTATCTCTAAAGGAGCTGTAAGAGTGGATCATGTACACACTCATTAAAACTTAGAAGATCCTTTGATGAAAGGATTAGCTAGAGAGAAAGTTCATAATACATCCAAGAGGATGGCACTAATGCCTATAAAGAAATGAGCTACTCGTGATGGTAGCCCGACCTAGATGACTAGAGATCCCAGGAAATAGGTTCAATGGGTAATAACAATTCGTGAGTAATATGAGATGATCATGCTAGTGAAGCATGAATCCGGAAGTAATAAGAGGATGAGATAATACAAACTCTTAATGAGATCTATACTTTGTATGAGGGAGTACTTAGGCTTCAGGAATACTCTTGATAGACTCACCTTTGTGATTATGGAACTTAGGCTGGTTCGTATGGAATTTTGAATCAGAATTCCTGGAGCCTTCACTAAATCGGGATACACGTGTAGGGCTATTAAAGCATGGGCTATTATAATACACCTTAAGAAAAGGTTTCGTGCGGGTTTGATGTCTAAGCTAGAGTTCAAGACAATGGTGTCACTCTTGTTGAGTCAAAATCCTACCAGTTACATAGAGGTTCAAGTCATAGACACCTTTTTTTATGCATAATCTTAGAAACGTTAGACGTTCATTCTAAAAATCACCTTTTAAATTCAAGTGGGGGATTGTTGCAATGCTTGGAATGATGATAACTTGGATTGGGGACTTTGAAGAAGTTAATGGTATTAAGTTGGCAATAAATGAGTACAAGTATGAGCTAGAGTGTTGGTGAATTTGAAAAGGTTCATTGAAGTCCCACATAGGAGGGAGATCACACTTTAGTAGTGTTTATATATTGCAAGTGGACAAATTGGGTTGGGCCCCAAGTTTTACCCAATTTTGTGGTTGGGTGAGAACACACCACCATGAAATAAAACATGCACACGCACACGCTGCCTCTACCATCCGGCCGGCCGGCTCAGCTCGACTCAGCTTAGTTCGGTCCGGTCTGGGTTTGGGCTTTGGCTTGGGGGTTGATCCAATTCTTTTGGTACTCAGAAAATTATTTAATATTACTTAATTTGTTAATTGTGTGTAATGTGAATTAATTAATTATTATTATTAATTAATAATGGTGTGTCATAATTACGAATTAGTTAATTATTAACTAATTAATGATTGCCAACCAAGTGTCCATGTTTCCTTGCTGACCAAGTGCATAACGGCTCCTTTGATTAAGTTCATTCCACTCTCCCACGATTTCCTCCAACTTTTCCTCCCACGTTTTGTATCCATCAAATCAGATATGTGACTATAACTAGTATCGTGCGTATCAGTTGAATAGTACTCCATATTCTGAATATTTTTGGAATCTCTCTTCTCCTTATCGTTCTCTTCATCTATATTTTTTTTAGTTCTTATCTACGAGTGGTTTATAACACCATCGACGACTGAGAATTTTTTTCAGATACGAGTGGTTTCAAACACCATCTGAACGTGTATCTCTATGAACGATTTATTAAAGTGCAAGTGATAATCGTATTTTTGAACTGGCTGTTTTACCCTAGAGACGTCACTGAAACGTAACTGCATTGCATAATTTTTGGCAGTACGACAAAACGTTTTAAAGAAAGCCACCTAGTACGCGACTCGTCCCAATAATTTTCTTTGTGGAAAGTTTTTCAAAACAGAAAAAAACAATAATTTTAAGATGATTTTTTTTAATTGTTATGGCTACTGAAGAAATTATCGATGCTACTGAGGCCATTTATGTTTGGGGGTACTCACTTCAAATGTTGGCAAGCTAAGATGAAAATTTTCTTAACTTTGAAGAAGGTTGCCCATTTTTTGACTGAGGATATCCCTATTTCTCCTTCTAGATCAACTAAAAAAACTAATGGTAATACAACCACAGATTCAGACGGGACTCTCAACTCGTCTGAATCAGACTCTTCTGCTAAGACTAAGGAAAATGATTTACAACTCCGGAAAGAGATTGTCATCTGAAAAGATAATGATTATCTTTATAAAAACCACATTTTGGATAGCCTTGCTGATGATCTGTAGGATTACTACAGTAATTGTAACACTGCTAAACAGGTATGGGAAACTCTGTAGAAGAAACATGATACTAAAGAAGCAGGTACAAAGAAATATATTGTCAGCCGCTACCTGAATTATAAGATGGTGGATGAAAAGTTTGTAGAATCTCAAAGCCACAAAATTTAGAAGATTGCTCATGAAATCATAACTGAAGATATGCCCCTCGATGAACAATTTCATATTGTTGTGATAATTGACAAACTGTCCCCTGGTTGGAAAGATTTCAAAAAATTTCTTTGACATAAAACAAAAGAGTTTTCAATTAAGAGTATGGTCACTCACCTCCGACTTAAAGAGGAAGCTAGAAGACAAGATCAGAAGAACGAAGTCTTAGTGTTCTAACAATTAAAAGAGATTCGATACAATTCTGAAGCCCACGGGCAAACCATTAAAGAATCAGAACCGCAATGTTATGAACCGAATTAAGAATGGGAATCCCTCAAGGGGCCCATCTGCTCCAATTACTAGACAACAACCACCAACTCAAAGAAATGACGCTACAGGTTTCACTTGCTTTAATTATGGAAAACCGGGTCATATTTACAAGATATTTAAGAGCAGGCCTAAACCTGTTGGCTCTAATTCACAGGTTAACCTGAATGATGAGAAATTAATTGTTATTATCACTAAAATCAACATGATTGGTGGAAGTGATGGTTGGTGGATAGACACTGACGCCTCTCGTCACGTCTGCTATGATTGTGATATGTTCAATACATACACGAATGTTGAAGATAAGAAAGTTTTTGGGAGATGATTACACCACCGATGTTACTGGAATTGGACACGTTGAGTTGAACTTCACCTCAAGAAAGAGTTTAGTCTTGAAGGACGTCATT